GTCCTCACTGTCAGCAGAGTGACTGTGGATACTGTATTCCAAAACCTTGTGTTGGGCTGAGTTGATGGCTTAGTCAGCAAAGAACTTGCTGTGTAGGATTAAGGATCAACATTGGATTCCCAGAATGCACCTGAAAACTGAGAGTAGTGGTGTGTGCCTTGTGGAGGTGGAGACGGGTATTCCTGGGGCTTGCTGATCCACTAGGTTTTCCTAGTTAGTAGGTAAGCTCTAGACCACCGAGAGATTTGATGTTAAAAACCAAAGTGGGACTGGATGTACTGATGCCTTTAATCCCAGCACTGGGGAGCCAGAGGCAGGCAGATCTTCATGAGTTTAAGGCTAACCTGGCCTATTGTTCCAGGTGAGTCTGAATACAGAGTGAGACCTTGTTTCAAAAACAAAACAAAACAAGGTGGATGACTCTTAAGGAATGATGTCTGAGGTTGTCCTTTGGCCTTCACATGTATGTATGCACACACATGTGCACCATACACCTGAATAAACACATGTGCACACACTGGAAAACAAAACAAAATAAATAAAATATCTTGCCTTCCCCAGTGAGGCCCAGCGGTATTGGTGTCTGTGATAGATTCTAATTATGTCATCTTTTCAAAGAGTGGGACTTGCTTCTTTCCTGGAGAGACTAAAGGTAGGGACTTTCTCCTGATGAGGAGAACATGGCAAAGGGGAGAGCTTGTAAATTCTAGGATTCTGTAAAAGTCATTATAGTGGGCTGACCTGTGGTGGTACACAACGTTAATGCAGAGGCAGATGGATCTCTGAGTTCAAGGTCAGTCTGGTCTACAGAGTGAGTTCCAGAACAGCCATGAAACCTTGTCACACAGAGAAACCTTGTCTCAGGGTGGGGAGAGCCTCTATAGCTTCCAGCCTCTGAACAACCCTAAAGAGGCGCACACAGTGGGTCCTTGCCAACTGAAGCGTGACAGAACCTGATAGTTCAGTGACTACAGAGACCACAGTTCAGCTGACGCATTCCCTGTTACACAGTTAGAAAAACTGGAACAGCACATGGGCCATAGTTTCAGTTAAAGTGTCCAAAGATGACACAAAATAAAAAACATTTGTTTTTCATAATGACGAGTTTGGGAGTAATTTGCCAGGCAGTGGTAGATGGCAAACATGGCCGTGTCTGGGAACTTAGAACTCCAGATTTCAAACTTCATCTGCGTGATTGGGATCATTACTGGAGCAAGCTCTCAAGATGACTTCATTGTGTTTCGTAAAGGATTGCTATAAACTACTCAACTCACAGTCAGTTATAGAGACATGAACACGTGCATCTCCTGGGTAGAGCTTTTAAGGCCGCTTATCCGTGTCTTTCTTCTTTCTCACTCTACAACAGAAGCTTGCAGTAGCCTCTACCTAAGTTCTCCTTCCTGGCTACCATGTTGTCTGAACATCCTGTCCTCTACCCAGAGTCTCTTTGCATGGACATCCTAGCAATGGTTTACTAGAAACAGTCAAAGGAGTGTTTCAAAAGAGAACCCAGGGGGAGCCTGGAACGCTGCACACAAACTAGGATAGTTATCCAAAGGACAGAACACCATTACATGAAAAGGGGACTTTGATTAGTTTCCTTGATATGGGGACAGGCTGTTTCCAGGAGTCTTGCTCTAGGGGGAGCCCTTGGTGATCACAAAGGCCTAGGCTACATGCAGAAGAAGAGAGGAAAAAGAATGTTTGGATTTCAAGTTATGATTTCAGGGGTCATCACGAGAACCCATATTGGGGTGATCATTTATTTTTCATGTCATGATTTACAGTGTTTAGGTCTTGGGGCACAGGTCCTCTGAGTGGACTGAAACCGGTCAACTCCTGCCTCAGCCAGGAAGCACCCTTCCCAGCAGCAGGATCACGGTGGAACTTTTGCTGTCATTCACGGCCTAGATCCAAATGCCTGGTAGGGCCTGCCCCTTGCTCAGACATCCTCTGCCTTTCTCTCCAGCTGCACACTAGTGTCCTGGAGGTGAATAGGGAGAACCACAGGGCAAGGAGGAGCATGTGGGTAGCAGGAAGCTACATTTTAAAGTTCTGTTTCTGATCAATCTCCATTGTGTATGGAGATTTTTTTATGCAGCCAAATAGAACTATTCTGTTTTGCAAAATATAGCACAAGCTTTCTCCCTAGACCTTTGAGCATGCTGCTGCATCTGCCTGCACTCCCCTGCCTTAGAAGAAATCTGGTTGCTGCATCTGCCTGCATCCCCTCCCTTTGGGGAAGTCTGGCTGCTGCATCTGCCTGCATCCCCTCCCTTTGGGGAAGGCTGGCTTCTATTCACCCTGTCTTTCTGGCCGAAGCATCACCTCCTCTGAAAAGCCACCCTAGATTCCCACAGATTCCTGTGTACTCTTCTCTCAAAGTACCAGTTTGTTTCTCTTCCCCACTATACTACAGACACGGCTGAGCGGGGACCATTGCATTCATTGTTCCATTTTTCAGAGAGTTCGAATTAATGGGTAAATAAATGAATGGGTGGTTTCTGAACCTGGAACAGCCCCCAGTCCTGCAGTGCATCCAGTATAGGTTCATGGAGTGAAGCAGTGTCTGGTGCTTATTTCCCTGAAGAGGTGCTGAAGGTGATCAAGGCCTTGAAAGATGAGGGAAGCTTGAGGGATGAAGACCCTTGGGTGTTCCTCGATACCCTGAGGACCTACTATGTGTGCTCCCGCCCCTCCCTCTTACCCTGCCTCAGCACACACTCGCTGGCCTCAGGCTCTTTGCTTCTCTCACTTGAGAAACAGAACTGAACTTTCTGGCCTGAGAGGTACTGCCTTATTGATTCAAAAGCTGGTAACAGTGACCCCGGCCCAGAAACATTTCCTGGGATCAAATAACCAGCTCTTCTTGTCGCTCATCAATCTGCAACGGGCCGAATGGCCACTTACTCTGGGACTTACTACCTGAACCCTAACCCGAAGGCCCCCAGGCCAAGGGATGCCTGAGTAATTTACTATCAGCCTCATCTCCCAAGGCTGTAATTTAGAATGGCTGCTGTTTGAAGCAAAACAAAGCAGTATTTGGGTTCACTAAGGGTTTGGAGTAGTGTCGCTTTCATGAGATAAAAATAATAGTCTCATATTAAAACTGCTTTTCACATCCATTTCTTGCCTAGTGAACATAAAAAAATTCTAGCTAACCATTAATATCTCTAGTCTTACAAGTACAACCTCAAAAAAGTTAAATAACTGAGTCTGTATTGTCCTCAAGCAAGGAATGTGGTGCTCCTATGGATATTAATAAATATAACAATAGTGAAATTTATTATCACCGATTGTTTCAGTCATTCATTATTTACTATGAATTATCATGTTATTACTAAATATAAATTAACATTTCATTACTAAGCGTTCAGGTTCAATGTTTCATTAGTGTTTATTTGTGTGTTAGGTACTGGAAAGATAACTTGATTAAATTGTCCCAGTAAGGGTGGATGTGTGGCTCAGGGGTGGAGCACTTTTGGTTCTGTCCTCAGCACCCAAACAAATAAACAAACCATCACAACAATTTTGTAGGTTATGTGTCATGGTCATGAGTTGCTTAGTGACGTGGATTCATTTTGAGAACTAGGTTTTTAGTCGATTTTGACACATAATGAGTGTGTTGGATCCACGCCTACATGGTATAATCTGCTGTACTCTTAGGTATTGTAGTGTGTACTTCCTTACATGTGATCTACTACACGTTATGTGGCACAGCTGTACTAGCCTACTCATTGGGTAAGTGTAGATGCGGAATCTCAGAGAAGCGAAATGACACGCCCAGGGTTGTAAGGCAGGGGTAGGGGCCACAGTCTATTCCTGGTCACCATGCATGCTAATCTGATGCTCTTGCTTACCAACCTCTAAAGGCTAGGGCCACAGCCATGAGCGAGTGCTGCATTCTCACTGCTTAGCTCAGCCCTAGCTTGCCAAAGACCTGCTGTGAGATGACAGTCCCGTTCTGCCATTCAACCTAATGCTCTACGGCAGGACCTGTTTCCCAGTCTTTCCCAAGGCTTCTCATCTCCCGGAGCCCCAGTTTTCTGCAGCACCTTTGCAATCACAGCACCCCTTTACCAAGTAGGAAATGCAAGTGAAGTGCACGTTGAGCCTCAGACCCTCTGCTAACCCTTTGAGAAAGACTTTATTTCCTCTGGTTTTGAGATGGCCAGAGGGGACTTAGAAGATTGGTGCAGTTTGATTAAGGAACATGGTGTGAGTGCCACTGGTAAGTCTGGATAGTGTATCCAATCCAGTCGCCATGATGCTTTCCCTTCTGTTTTACACAGCTGTGCTGTGATGTAATTCTTCCATTTCATTCATTCGATTCATTCATGTCGCAGAGTTGTTCATCCATCACTGCAATCAAATTTAGACACACTCATCGCCCAGATAAAATCCTAGATATCTTGTCATGTCTAACCTCAGACTCACCACCCTCCCCAACCCCAAGTCGATTAGGTAAGCTACCTCTTGTTTCTGTAGATTTTAATATTCTGGGTTGTTCACGTACATGGAATCACATAACATATGGTTTTTGTTATTGGCTTTTTATGTTTTGCTCTTAAATTTTTTTTGGAAAGGATCTCATGTAGCCCAGTGGGTTTTAAATTTGGTTTATAGTAGAGGACAACTTAGAATTTCTGATCCTTCCACCTCCATCTCCTGAGTGCTGGGATTATAGGCAAGCACGCACAGATTCAGGTGGTACAGAAGATTGCACACTGTACTAACCCAGCTCCATCCCCAGCCTCTTTCCAGACTGGCTTCTTTCACTTAGCACAAGAACTCCGGAGGTGACCCATGGAAAGTGTGTATCAGCACTTGGTTCCTTCTCCTTTCCCATCTCATGCCACACCTTCAGTTATACCTTTTATATATTTGGGCATCCGTTGGTGGACCTTTGGGTTGTTTGTGATATTACTTCTTGTACATGACTGACCTCAAAGGAAGTTCTGAAGAGCACACAGAAATCAGTCAAGAGAGTATCTTCAGGCTGTAAAGAACTCTACCCGTAGGAGGTAGCAGTTTTTATTGAGCTGATGGCTGCAACTAGGGCAAGTTGGGTTGCGTTTGTTTACTTGTTTCCAACGAGGACGGCACATCCTGGAGCAGTAGCTGGAAATGTAAGGCTGGAATACGCCGTGTGTGTGTCCTTATCTCCACGGTGCCTCCTCAGCCTGCCACTCTGCGATAAAGTTTTTATCCCGACCTTTATTTCATTTCACTTTATTATTATTTTTTTATGCTGTAAAACAAATGATAGCAAGTGACTCTTTAAGGAAATGTTTTTATTCAGAGTGATTCAAAAGTCTGGCATTTGACTTTTATGGAAAACAGGCTCGTCTTCTAGCACTAAACTAGGAAATTGTTGACTGGAAATAATCTTACTAAACCAATTAAAAAACTCTTCATGGAGCTTTCTGCCCAGCGGCCCAGCAATTCATATATCTTTTGGATAGCAACGGAGGTTAATCCTGCATGTTACTAAGGCGCCCACTGTGTCTATTTGGTAAACACACATAGATGAATTCGAGAAGAAAGCCAGGGCGGCTAGTGAACTCGCATCCTCTTTTCTGTCTTACCCCGCGATGAAACGAACCAGAAGTGGGAGATTATGTTCTTTCCCTCTCTTAATTTAGCTAAGTAGGAACCGTGTCAAGTAAGCCCCTGTAAAGGACCGCGTGCTGCATGAACATCTCTCATCCAGGATGAACTGCGGGTCCTGCTCTTCTGAAGCCAGGCTGAAGGCAGTGCAGAAACACCTCTGTAAAATCCTGCCTGACTGTTTAGCAAAAGGCAGCTTCCACCTTTTGCCAGGGCCTCCACACAATTCAGCATATTTCTGAGTGTCAGTTTAACTCCCGTTGGCCACGGGGACAGCCACAGTGAGACAGCGTGAGAAGACTGGAAGGAAGGACTCCAGTGGGCGGGTGCTGAGCAGAAAGGGGAGTTGCATTAGGACAAGGGAGCAGAAAAGCTAAGAGGAGCAGAAAATATTAATTTGCTATTGTTTCTCACACACTTCCTCCATGCTGCAAACATGTTATCGCTCTGTACATACTTTGTCATGCCAGTTTAGGCTAGGTTTCTATTTTGGAACTTTCCTTTAAGATGGGTTTTACTTCCCTAAGCATCATCCTTTGTTAGGGACAGAATCGAAGCCAAGATCTTAACCTCTGAGCTAGAGCACCTCTTCACCATCAAATGGACCACGCTGCTCAGCATGACCTACCTGTAACTGAAAACAGGCATGATTTTTCAAAGAGAAAACAAAGGTTAGTTTTCTCTTCGTCAATTAGATAACTGAGCTCTGAAACACGGGGGTTGACTGGGAAAGCATCAGAACGTTACATTTTTGTAACATTCTCTAACGTCCTTGGGATGAACAAGTCTCTTCCTGGGGCCTTGGGGAGGCTGGGTGTGAGTGACTTCAGTCTTCCACATCCCACCCAGACAACACCCAACAGTCACGGCTAGTGCTCCTTTCTCTACCACTTTCCAATGGCTCCCTCCTGTTACAATTGAACGGCCCTGTGCTCTGGATCTGATGTGGGTTGACTTAGAAGTTAGAGAGGTAAGAGTTTCTCACGCTGGGAAAACGACGACGGGCGTTTTCTAGTCTGACTTCCTGTACTGCCTGGTTTTGTGTCAACTTGACACAAGCTGGAGTCATCAGAGAGGAAGGAGCCTCAGCTGAGGAAATGCCTACATGAGTCCCGGCTGTAAGGCATTTTCTCAATTAGTGATCAACGCGGAAGGGCCCAGCCCACAGTGGGTGGTGCCGTCCCTGGACTGGTGGTCCTGGGTTCTATAAGAAAGCAATTAAGTTTGAGTAAGTCGGAGGAAGAAAGCCAGCAAGCAGGTCCCTTCCATGGCTTCTGCATCAGCTGCTGCCTTCAGGTTCCAGTCCCGCTGGAGTTACTGTTTGACTTTCTTCAGTGATGGACTATGATCTGGTAATGTGAGCCAAAGCAACCCTTTCCTCCCCAGTTTGTTTTTTAGTCATAGTGTTTCATGTCAGTAATAGAAACCCTAACTATGAGACATTGTCACCAGCGTAGTGGGGTATTGCTGTGACAGACCTGGCTGTGTTTTGGGAAGGATTGTGGAAGGTCTTCAGAACTTAGAACTAGAGAAGCCATTGCATGTTGAAAGTTCTGGAATATTCTTTGAGAGCTTAAAAGATGAGAATGTCGAGAGCAGTGCAGAGGATGGAGATCTGGCTTGTGAGGTTTCAGAGGGAAGTTTAAAGATTCTATCAGGGCCATTTTTTTGAATTAAGGTCCTGTGGTTCTGGTTAGCTGTGGCTGGAAAGTCAGCTGTGATGAACGAGACACCAGAGCTACTGAAGCAAAACCTTTATGTTTCTGGGACAATTGATGCTGGTCGGCTGGAGCTGAGAAATTGGCAGTGATTAAGAAGAAATAGCATCATTGATGTGGAATCTTCTGGGAAGGGTTTTCTGATAGCCAACACATGGAAGCTGTGTTCCAGAGGTGGCCATAGTTGGCAGCAGGAATTTGGTAATGGGTAAGTGTCTCCCATTACCATGAAGACATGAAGGGGCCATGGAGAGAAGTTGAGGCTTGGCACAGTGAGAAGACAGGAGAGGCCATTGGTGAAGGTGCAGCCTCAGCAACAACTGAAGGTCAGGACTGAAGGGGTCATGCAAAGAAGTTGAGGTTTGGCACCATGAAGACAGCCCATTGAGGAAAGTGCAGCCCAGTTGCAACAAGGGAGCCTAGCATTTTGGAGATGCCAGTACCGTGGGAAGACCACCAAGAACAGGAGAAGAGAGGAGTGGAACCTGCTGGAGCTTGGGAGACAAGCTGTATGTGCTGCAGAGGACAGAGCTGGAGAAGCAACCCAAACCCTTTGGAAGAGTCTCAAAGACCATGAATTGTAACATGAAGGGGCCTACTTGTTGGGGTTTATGTCCTGCCCAGTTCCCCACAGCCGGCAAGCCCCAAAGAAAACCACACAGAGATCTCCATAAGTTATAAAACTGATTGGCCCATTAGCTCAGGCTACTTATTAGCTCTTGTAGCTTATATAATAACCCATTATTCTTGTCGATGTTAGCCACATGGCTCGGTACCTTTCTCAACAGGGTAGCTCACATCTTGCTTCTTCGGTGATTTGGGCAGAACTGCGAAAGGAGCTTCCTGCTTCCCAGAATTCTCCTGTTCTCATCACCCCACCTCTAGTTCCTGTCTGGTTGACCCACCTATACTCCCTGCCTGGCCAATTAGCATTTATTTAAAACATGATTGACAGAATACAGACAATTTTCCTGCACCAATGAATGAATCTGAGATATTTGGACATTGAGTTATTTATACTGTTGGAGTTTGGTTTTGTTTGGTTCAGATTGTGATGGTGCCCTGGTTCCTACCTTTTGAGGAAGATATTTAATTTAATTTTGATTTTCAAAGGATCCTACAGATGAACAACTAGAACTTTTAAAAGAGACTAGATATTTTAAAGAGACTGAAATTTTAATGTGTTTGAATTTGTGAAGACTGTGGGACTTTTAAAATTATAATTTTAAAGTGAGTTCTTGGGGATGAATAAGAAAGGAAGGCTTGTGGCTTAATAGCGCTGTTTTTGCGTGTCAAGTTGACAAGGGGTCACTTGTACTGTCTGGTTTTGTGTCAACTTGACACAAGCTAGAATCATCAGAGAGGAAGGAGCCTCAGCTGAGGAAATGCCTACATGAGTCCCGGCTGTAAGGCATTTTCTCAATTAGTGATCAGTGCAGAAGGACCTAGCCCATGGTGGGTGGTGCCATCCCTGGACTGGTGGTCCTGGGTTCTATAAGAAAGCAAGTAAGTTTGAGTAAGTTGGAGGAAGAAAGCCAGCAAGCAGGTCCCTTCCATGGCTTCTGCATCAGCTGCTGCCTCCAGATTTCAGCCCTGCTGGAGTTACTGTTTGACTTTCTTCAATGATGGACTATGATCTGGAGGTGTGATTCAAAGAAACCCTTTCCTCCCCAATTTGTTTTTTGGTCATGGTGTCTCATGGCAGCAATAGAAACCCTGAGACACTCCCAGTTTGCAGATGAGGGAAACAGCCCCTGAGAAGTGATCACCTTAACTCGCAGAACTTGGCATCCTGGGAGTGACTGTCCTGTTATTTGAGGACCTATGAAGAAAGTCCATGGAGTCTCTCATAGGCAGGGGTGACAGTCAGTCAATGACTGGAATTTAATAGCGTTTCTATTTTTACTATTTTGTTCTTAGGTTTCCATTCCTGGGAGACTTTCACCTTACACCATTGATTCAAAGTTTCCTCCTTAAATACATCTATATTTATTTCTAAAATGTAGATTTGAGCTGTTAAGGAAACAATAGTACAAATGATTCGTAAAAGTGTCAAAATCTTGATTGTGGTCAACAAATGGCTAAAGACAGGAGACATGGCTCTCAATCACTTGCATGCCAAAGTGGGCACACCTCAAATCATACCGCCACACCCCTTCTCTACTTAAGAAGGGTCACCTTGGGGTAAGCATCTTCTAATGCCCCCTAGTTCCCCCACTCCTACGCTTGTTCTGTTTTCTTTGGGGCGTGCCCTTTTCTCTGTCCCTGTCACTCCCACAGTGACCTCTGAGTTTTCCTTTCTTTGCCCCGTGGATTCTGACACTAAAGGAAGGTTCCAGAAAACTCTTGGGGAATTTCTTCATCCCAAAAGATGATGACTCATCCTGACCTCAGTTACCAGACGTGGGTGAGTGAAAACCGCTCCATGGTTCAGTGGGTGAGACTAACATGGAGGCTCTTGGCTTTACTTCTTGGGAGCCTACCAGGATCTGTGACTGCAACAAATTCAACATTTCCCTTACCCCCAGTGTCCCTGTTGTTACAGTCATTGTCCCACCAGCCCCCAAACCTCTTTCAACTTGTCTGTTTTCTAGAGATCTCCGCTTGTCATCTCTCTGCTCTCAGGGAAGATGGACTGAAAAAAAGCAAGCAGAAGGGGAACGGAAACTACCCGGGAAGTGGGAGTTTCCTAGTTTGAGAAAAGAAAGAGATGTGTGCAGACAATGGATCCCCACCTCACGGGACTGCTGTGTGGTTGAATTAAGATAAATATGCACACACATCTGATCATAATACCCAGCATGCCGTGTGTGCCTGATCAGGCAGCTCATCCTGTATCATCTGCAGAAGAGACACTAGCTTCTTCCGACAGGAGACCCGGTGGGAGGCTCAGGCTTCATCTGAGTCGGTGGCAGCCGAGTCGTTCCTCAGCTCAGACTGGCCTTCCTCTGGGTCAGACTAGACAGCAGTCCCTTCCCTTCCTCTGGGACTGATCGGGGATAGAGAGAGCAGTCAGAAAAATAACACCAAGAAGAGAGTGATGGGGTTGGGGGCCCTTGGGTGGAGGGGAAAAAATGATGAGGGACCAGTCAAAGGTCAGGAAATCAATTTATTTCTCCTTACAGATCTATAAGTTTAGAGGCTTGTAAAGGTCACTGTTGTCCTTTTAAAGTACCTCCAGGATTTACATCCTGGATAGCACTTGCTCTCCTCCGTGGTAAACATGAAGATCCAATTAGTTTTCCCTATAATTCAAAGAGATCGCAGCAACAGGGGCCTTTCCGGTTGGGAGTGACTTTGGCTATAAAGTTTCTTGCTCTGCTATCCTGAGGATGAACTTTAATCCATATCTTATCTCCTGCTTGAAAATGAACATCCCTTCTCTTCTTATCAGAGTGGTTCTGCTTTCTTTTTCAACCCCCGCCCCCTTTCCTTTGGAGTCTTGGCCATCGTCCTTTTGGCAATTAGGACGGATTCCTTCTACTCACTTATTTACTGCGCTCAGTTACCTTAAGAATTTTCTCTCTGACTTGCCTCCAGGAGGCACTTTAAGGTCCTGTCATCTCAGAATGTTGCTGGAACAGCTTTCTGGGCCTTGCCCCTAAGTCTTCTACAGTGGTGGGAAATGGTTATCACTAAATACTTCTTTTTTAGATGGCATCCTTGACCAGAGATGAAGTCACCTCTCAGTACCGTCATGAATCCTGCTTCTAGGGGCAGTTCCTCTGTCTCATGACTTCTCCTCCCTCCAGGTTTCCTAGTCTAACCTGGCTTTTTCAGGGAAATGGAGGGTGGAGGTGGAGGATGGAGGTTAGCCTTCTCCCTCGGGCAGCAGCATTGCACTTGATGTGCTGCCACAAAGGGCGGTGGTTCTAGCTCCCGGCAGCGGGACATACTTCACCCCCTTTCCAGAGCCTGAGAACCTGTCATGTCCTAAGTACCCGGGACATTTATGAAAGGCAGGATGGATGTAGCAGGCCATCTCTATGTGGATTAAGG